AGCCGGGGCCTCCGATGGTGACCCTGTAAGCGCAGGGTCCCTGCCGATGTACTTGGTTAAGATGAGGTTACAGGGGAGCAGGGGCCTTGAAAAGGGGGGTGTGGAGACGGACACGCTCACAGGAAGGAAGGCCACGTGGGGAGGAAGGAGGAGGTCAGGTGAAGGTTCTAGAAGCCAATAAAGGCCAACACCAGCCCCAGGAGAGAGGGCGGGGCAGGCGCTCCCTCACGGCCCCAGGAGGAACGACCTGCGACACCCTGGCCTTGGACTTGTGGCCTGCAGAGCGAGGAGCGCCTGTCTGTGGTGTAAGCCGCCTGGTCCCCAGCAAACCACCCGGCAGGTGAGGACCAGGCAGGTGACAGCCCCTGAGGAGGGACGGGCAGGGCAGGCCTGGGGCAGGGACGGCCACCGACAGGAGGGCGCGTCAGGCCCTTAGCTGGGCCAGGACAACCAGGAGCGCCAACCGATCCACTGCCGCGTATTTTGAACAGCTTGGCTTTTTCTCTTTTTGGGTTTTTCTGGGAGGTTGGCTGGGAAAGGACATAATCGGACTGTCTCGGACCAGGGTGGGAGTCTCTGTGTGTGGATCGCACCCCAGAGTGGCTGGCATCAGGGCAGGACCCTTGGACGGTTGCTCACGTGACGGTGAGAAGAGGGGATGCCTTCTGCCAAATGATGGCCCCGCCCCCGGCCAGGCCAGAGGGCACAGTCAGCTTTCCAGGGGCTCCAAGCCACATGGTCCTGCACCCACCTTCGCCAGGACCCCTCTCAGCATGACAGGGCGCCCCAAAGACACAGGCTTTGTGCGGGGATGGCCCTAGTCGTGGCTGGGCCTCCTGCCTGGACACACGCCGGCCAGACTGATGCGCAGGGGCCCTAGACACGGGCCTGTGTGGCCCCTGAATGGGCGCCCCTGCCTCCCGGTGGGAGCCCCTACAGAAGCACCTCCTCCAGGGCACGGCCCGCCAGGAGGCAGCTGCGTCCTGGGTGCCCTGCAGCTGGTTTTAACTCTGGAAGGCAAACCAGGCGCGGCCCCAGCTATTTCCAGGCTGAAGCGGGAGGGTGGTGGGGAGGACGGGACAGCATGCCCCGCTGCCCCTGCCGCTGCCCCCC